ATGAGTTCACAGCAAACAAGATCACTCTGCTGGCTGTTGTATTGGATCACACGTCAGACACTTCCCAAGTGTCTAGGACTGTGTGATGTATCGGTGAATAATCCGTGCAGATCCGAGTAGGGTGGCCTTTTGCTGCTGGTAGGTGGTCATTTTGTCAGCGCCAATTGTGTTTAAGTGCAGGCCAAGGTCTTGAGGCACTGCACCCAGTGTGTCCATCACCACTGGGACCACCTTGACTGGCTTGTGCCACAGTCTTTGCAGTTGGATGGATGGATGCATACATACATACATGCATGCATAAATACATACATATATGGATGGATGGATAGAAGCATATCTGGAAGGAAGGAAGGAAGGAAGGAAGGAAGGAAGGAAGGAAGGAAGGAAGGACAGATACATATCTGGATGGATAGATTTATGCATAGATATATATTTGGATGGATTGATGGATAGATAGATATCTGGATGATGGATGGTTGGATAGATAGATAGATATTTGAATGGATGGATGAATAGATAAATATCTGGATGGATATATGGATGGATTGATGACTTGATAGATACATATCTGGATGGATAGATACATATCTGGATGGATGGATGGATGCATAGATAGATAGATAGATAGATAGATAGATAGATAGATAGATAGATAGATAGATAGATAGATAGCTGAATGGATAGATACATATCTAGATGGATGGATAGATGCATAGCTAGATAGCTGGATGGATGGATGGATGGATAGATAGATAGATAGATAGATAGATAGATAGATAGATAGATATCTGACAGATAGATACATATCTAGATGGATGGATAGATACATATCTAAATAGCTGGATGGATGGATGGATGGATGGATATATGGATGGATGGATATATGGATGGATGGATTGATTAATAGATATCTGGTTGTATGGATAGATGGATGGATAGATACATATCTGGATGGATGGATGGATGGATGGATGGATGGATAGATGGATACATATCTAGATAGCTGGATAGCTGGATGGATGGATTGATTGATAGATATCTGGTTGTATGGATAGATGGATGGATAGATACATATCTGGATGGATAGATAGATAGTACATAGAAGCATATCTGTATGGAAAGATAGATAGATACATATCTGTGTGGATACATATCTGACTGGATGGATAGATACATACATATCTAGATGGATGGATAGATATCCGAATGGATGGATGGAGATACAAATATAGATGGATGGATGGATAGATTGATTGATAGATTGATAGAAAAGAGAGCTTTGCTGCGCTTTGCCAATGTTAGAGCTCCTCCACCAAGATGGCTATCCCAGGATGCCTTCAGAGGGGATCTTGCCAGTTAAAGTGGGTTGAAACTGCTTTCAGTTGTGCAGTGCAGACATGCTTCTGAGGCATCTGACTAGGAAGCCTTACCACCTGCCTGCTTCCCGGGGCCTTCTTCTCTTTCCTTGCAGCCAAACCAGAGCCCAGCCTGGAAGCACTGCCCACCTCTCCTCCTGGACAGAATGTGATCCCCTCAACATCCGAATCTTTGGTAAGGAATCAGGGAAGGAAGGAAAAGGTTGGGGACTTGGAAGGGTTCCCCAAAGGTCATCTAGTCCAACCTCTTGCCTTGAATTGAGAAAGTCTGAGGCTGCATCTGCGCCGTAGAATAAGTAAACGAACCCGAGAAAGTATGAGATGGCCCATACGAAGTTGTCTCCTCTTTCTGTTTGTTTGCAGCACAGCATTTTTTGCGAAGACCCCGTCGGCTACTTGCCCCGAATGGGACAACCGAGTCCCCGTCTCTCCCCATCCTCCAGCCCCTCCGGATCGGTCTCTGTCGCCCCTTCAGCCCCCCTCGTGCCCAAGACGGAGCGCTTGTCCCCAACCCCGGTCTGCGGTGAGTTCACCCTATACAACACTTCGGCGGGGCCTTCGCTTTGGGTAGGAACTTGGTGCATGCTCAGTGAATAACAGCTTGAAAAAAGCCCATGTAGAAGAGATCTGGGTGTCTTAGTAGACCCCAAGCTGAACACGAGCCAAGAGTGTGATACTGCAGCGAAAAAGGCCAATGCAATTCTAGGCTGCATCAAGTGGAGGAGAGTGTTAATATCAAGGGAAATCTTCCTAAACATTAGAAAGAACCCCTACTGATCATCAGAGCTATTCAACAGTGGAATCGATTACCCCTGTGTTGGATGTGCATCTGGTGGGAGGGCTTTGATTGTGTCTTCCTGATGGCCTTTGGGGCCCCTTCCAACTCTAGGATTCTATTATCTCTCTTTCTTTCAGCAGTCAATACCCGAAGGATGTCTGAACAGGGTTCCCCGGTCTCTGTTGAGGGGCTGGTTACTCTCAATCCATATTCAAGCCCTCGGAGCCGAACGGAACCAAATAAGGTAACAACAACAACAACAATAATAATAACAATGATACATGTTACATATTACTTGCTTCTCCAAATGAACATAAGAATACAGTAAATTACTGAGTGGGGCAGTGAATCCGCTCCAGGTTTTAGCCCAGGATCAATAGCTTCCAAGTCAGTGGGGCAGTGAATCCGCTCAAGATTTTAGTCCAGGATCAATGGTTACCAAGTCAGAGGGGCAGTGAATCTGCTCCAGATTTTAGACCAGGATCAATTACTTCCAAGTCAGTGGGACAGTAAATCCACTGCAGGTTTTGGTCCAGGATCAATGGCTACCAAGTCAGTAGGGCAGTGAATCCGCTTCAGGTTTTAGTCCAGGATCAATGGCTATCAAGTCAGTGGGGCAGTGAATCTGCTCCAGGTTTTGGCCCAGGATCAATACCTCCCAAGTCAGTGGGGCAGTAAATTTGCTCCAGGTTTTAGTCCAGGATCAATGACTTCCAAGTCAGTGGGGCAGTGAATCCACTCTAGGTTTTGGCCCAGGATCAATAGCTTCCAAGTCAGTGGGGCAGTGAATCTGCTCAAGATTTTAGTCCAGGATCAATGGCTACCAAGTCAGTAGAGCAGTGAATCCGCACCAGGTTTTAGTCCAGGATCAATAGCTTCCAAGTCAATGGGGCAGTGAATCCGCTCCAGGTTTTAGTCCAGGATCAATAGCTTCCAAGGCAGTGGTGCAGTAAATCTGCTCCAGGTTTTAGTATAGGATCAATGGTTTCCAAGTCAGTGGGACAGTGAATCCACTCCAGGTTTTTGTCCAGGGTCAATGGCTACCAAGTCAGTGGGGCAGTGAATCCAGGTTTTAGTTCAGGATGAATTGCTTCCAAGTCAGTGGAGTAAAGGATCCATTAGTCCAGGATCAATGGCTTCCAAGTCAGTGGGGCAGGGAATCTGCTCCAGGTTTTGCCTCATCAGCCCTTCTTCTGCAGACGGAGAGCCGCCGCATCACTCACATCTCCGCAGAGCAGAAGCGCCGGTTCAACATCAAGGTGGGCTTTGACACGCTCCATGGGCTCGTGAGCACCCTCAGCGCCCAGCCCAGCCTCAAGGTGAGCGGAAATGGGCCCAAAATGGGAATAAAGAGATGCTTACAAGGCCGTAATAAAGCCCCTCATCCAGACCCAGGAACTGGGCGCCGGCCTTCTTCCTCCTCCTTCCGGTCGCCTTTTCATTCCATGCTTCTTAGCCAAAGGGAAGAAACCCTTGCAGAAAACACTGCTTTACAAAACCCTCATTTTCGCCCACTTTTCAAGGTCAGCAAAGCCACAACTTTGCAAAAGACGGCCGAATACATCTGCAAGCTGCAGCAAGAGCGGACGGCGCTGCAGGACGAGGCCCAGCGACTGCGGGACCAAATCGAGGGACTGAATGCCGCCATCAAGTATGAGAGCCAAAGGATGCATCCCTCCATTCACTTCTAATCGGGTCCTTTAAAGTTCGGACTGCAACCCGGAATGGTCTGAAAGTGGGGCTGAGCCTGAAGTTGACATTCCTATCAAAGTGTTGTGTGGGAAAGATGCTAAACCTTGGGTTCCCTTGTAAGGGAAACCCAACTCAATGGATCGATGGATTGATTGCTTGATTGCTTGATCAATTAATCAATATCCCCTTCTCTCTCCAGCGTTTGCCAACAGCAGCTGCCTGACACTGGGGTGCCCATCACTCGCCAGCGCTTCGACCAGATGCGGGAGATGTTCGACCAGTACGTTCGCTCCTGCACCTTGCAGAACTGGAAATTTTGGGTTGTATCCTTTATTGAGGAAGAGCCTTGCATGCTTTCCCCCTTCTCCAGCTCTGAGAAGGCCTCCCGTACAATGGTGACACTATAGCAGATCTCTTTGTGGCTCTTTCCTTCTCCTTCCTTCCTTCCTTCCTTCCTTCCTTCCTTCCTTCCTTCCTTCCTTCCTTCCTTCCACTCATACACCGTCCCTCTCTTCTGTCTCGCGTTCTTTTCTCTTCCATTATTTTGCTTTCTTTCCCCGCCTTTCCCCAGTATAACTTTCCCCATTTCCTTCCACCCTTTTCCTTCCTTCCTTCCTTCCTTCCTTCCTTCCTTCCTTCCTTCCTTCTTTTTTTCTTCCCTTCCCTTCCCTTCTTTCTTCCTCTTTCTTTCCTTCTTTTCTTCTTTCTTTCCTTCCCTTGCATTCTCTCCTGACGTTTCACCTGTATCTATGGCTGGCATCCTCAGAGGTTGTGAGATTTGACCTTGATATAGTTCAACTCCTCCCTCACAATTTCATCTTTCTCCCCCTTCCTTCCTTCCTTCCTTCCTTCCTTTCCTTTCCTTTCCTTTCCTTTCCTTTCCTTTCCTTTCCTTTCCCTTCCTTTTACTTCCAGTTTGCTTGGGAATTTCTGTTTTGAATTTTGGACTTTATAGGGTCGTGAAAATTGACTTCTCTTTTGTGGGTTTTAAAAAGTACTGTTTGGAACATTGTGAACTGCTTAGGGTGTGAATAATAATAATAATAATAATAATAATAATAATAATAATAATAATATAGATTAGAGCAGCCATAATAATAATAGCAATAATGTGTGATGATGATGATGATGATGATGATGATTATTATTATTATTTAGATAGGAGCAGCATGCATAATAATAATAACAGCAACAATGACTATGGCTGCTGAATAGTAGTAGTAATAGTAGATTGGACTACAGTCAAGCAGCCATAATTGTTGTTGCTGTTGTTATTATTACGCATGCTGCTCCTATCTAAATAATAATAATATTTATTTAGATTGGAGCCACCATAGTTAAATAACAACAACAACAACAATAATGACTATGGCTGCTTAATAGTAGTAGTAGTAGTAGTAGTAGATTGGACTACAGACAAGCAGCCATAGTCGTTGTTGTTATTATGCATGCTGCTCCTATCTAAATAATAATAATATTTATTTAGATTGGACCCATCATAGTTATATAACAACAACAACAATAATGACTATGGCTGCTGAATAGTAGTAGTAGTAGTAGATTGGACTACAGACAAGCAGCTATAGTCGTTGTTGCTGTTGGTTTTATTATGCATAAAGCTCCTATCTAAATAATGATATTTATTTAGATTGGAGCCACCATAGTTATATAACAATAACAATAATAATAATAATGACTATGGTTGCTGAATAGTAGTAGTAGTAGTATATTGGACTACGGACAAGCAGCAATAGTCGTTGTTGCTGTTGTTATTATTATGTATGATACTCCTATCTAAATAATAATATTTATTTAGATTGGAGCCACCATAGCTTTCTAACAATAACAACAACAACAACAACAACAACAACAACAATGTCTATGGCTGCTTAACAGTAGTAGCAGTAGTAGTAGATTGGACTACAGACAAGCAGGCATAGTCGTTGTTGCTGTTGTTATTATTATGCATGATACTCCTATCTAAATAATAATAATATTTATTTCGATTGGAGCCACCATAGTTATATAATAATAATAATAATAATAATAATAATAATGACTATGGCTGCTTAATAGTAGTAGTAGTAGTAGTAGATTGGACTACAGACAAGCAGCCATAGTCATTGTTGCTGTTATTATTATACATTATACACCTATCTAAATAATAATAATATGTATTTCGATTGGAGCCACCATAGTTATATAACAATAACAACAATAATAATGTGTGAATAAATATTATTATTTAAATAGGAGCAGAATACATAATAATAACATCAGCAACAACTCTGGCTGCTTGTCTCTACTCCAATCCATGATGATGATGATGATGATGATTATTATTATTATTATCATCATTATCATTGTTATCGATTGGAGCAACCATAATTATTTGACAATAACAACAAGTACAACAACTATGGCTGCTCACCTCTAGTCTAGTCCATGCTTTCCACTCCATCTGGGACAGCGTTGGCTCCCATGTCAGTGAATCCACTCCAGGTTTTCACCAAAATAGCTCCACGGAGATCTCCTTTTTCAACTGCCAAAACGCGGAGTGGAGTCACTGACCCACTGACATGGAAGTGCTGGTTGATGGCTTCCCAAAACATATTGTTTTTCCCCCTTAACCGTACTTCCGTTGCCAGTTCAGCATCATCATGCGCCCGCTTTTCGAATCCTTCAACGGGATGGTGTCCACCTCCAGCATCGAGAGCTTGAGCCAGACCTCCTTGGCTTGGTTAGACCAATACTGCTCCCTCCCAGCGCTGCGGCCCAGTGAGTAGCATAAACACATGAGAAAAGTTCATTTTGTGTTGGCGGGAGGGACATCCTCTTGCAGCACATTTTGCTCACTACCTCTGAGGATGCTTGCCATAGATGCAGGTGAAATGTCAGGAGAAAATGCCTCTAGAACATGGCCCACAAGAACCTACATTTTGTTCTAGCTTGTCAAGGGATCTGGGCCCAGCAGTAACTTCTCTGTTTGTTTCCGCAGCGGTCCTAAGCTCCCTCCGCCAACTCAGCGTCTCCACTTCCATCCTGACCAACCCGGGGGCCATCCCCGAACAGGCGGCCCAAGCCGTGACCGGCACAATGGCCCACCACGCCTCCTCCTAGCCTCAAGGAGCCCACCTCGCATGGTCGGCGTTGGAAGGAGAGGACGGGATCATCTCAAACAACATCGGAGAGGATTCGGAAACATTTTGAAGATGCGTTCTCATCTCTGTTGCCTGACTTTCCCATTGCCCTTGACATACATTTTGCAGTGCAATACTGTCAATGGCCACTAGATGGTGGCAAAGGATTGGAAATTACATTAATAAGTGTCTTAAGAAGCATACAAATGACTGTTACTTTTCTAATTACTTTTGTATTATTAATAATATGGGATTGATTTGCACAAGAAGAGGTTGATTGAGGAGGCCAAGGTTCCGAAAAAGGGGAAACAAGGAAATAATCAAGGAGGAAATGTCAATTTTTGGGCAGGGATTTCGATGTCTGGTATTGCAGCGAATTAATAAGTAATGTTATGATATGAAGACCGTATATATATATGAATATGATATTAAATTAAATTAAATGTCCTGTTAGAGATGAAGGTTGGGTCTGCTTGTGTTGGAATGACTTTTGAATAATAAATATTTGAATGGCTCCAAGCGTCTCCGTGCCTGATTGTCTCCCATTTGAAAATAATATAACAATATTGGTCTGAGAATCAAAGCAATGTGTTCCTAATTGGCTCTGATTCCCATCGTCCCAAAAAATATATACTAATATATTATTATTATTTAAAATATACTATTATTATTATTGTTTCGTATATACTATTTAATATAATATATACTATTATTTAATATATACTATTCTTATTATTTATTATATATGATTATTATTGTTTAATATATACTACTATTATTATTTAATATATACTATTATTGTTTAATATATTCTATTACTATTTAATATATACCATTATTATTATTTAAAATATACTGTTGTTATTATTTCATATCTACTATTATTATTGTTTAATATTTATTGTTTTAAAAAACTATTATCGTTTAATCTATACTATTATTAACCTATACTATTATTGTTGTTTAATATATGCTATCATTATATAATATATACTATTATTATTAAAATATACTATTATTGTTTAATATATACTATCATTATATAATATATACTTTTATTTAATATATACTATTATTAAAATATACTATTATTGTTTAATATATACAATTATTATTATTTAAAATATACTATTATTATTTAATATATACAATTATTATTGTTTAATATTTATTATTGTTTTAAAAAACTATTATCATCTAATATATACTATTATTGTTTAATATATACTATCATATAATATGCACTATTATTTAATATATACTATTATTTTATATATCATTATTACTGTTTAATATATACTATTGTTATTATTTAATATATACTATTATTGTTTAATATATACTATTATTATTGTTTAATATATTCTATTATTATTTAATATATACCATTATTGTTATTTAAAATATACTATTATTATTTAATATATACTTTGTTGTTTAATATATATTATTGTTGTTTTAAAAACTATTATAGTTTAATCTATACTATTATTATTATTGTTTAATATATACTATCATTATTTAATATATACTATTATTAAAATATACAATTATTTAATATATACTATTATTAATACTAAACATATACTATTATTGTTTAATATATTATTATTATTATTATTATTATTATTATTATTATTATTATTATTATTATTATGGCCATTCTTAATTTAACGGCTGTTGCAGCGCCAGCCAGTAGGGGGCGCCGCGTGACGTCATTTCGAACCAACGCGATCCAATCAGCAGCTGATTCCAATAGAGCGTGGGAAGAGGCGCAGCTGCCAAAGATGTCGCGCTGCGCATGCGCACGTTTTCCCGCTCGACGGCTGATTCTAAACTCAGACCACCTGCGCTCTAAGCACTGGCCGCGCGCCTTACTATGATTGGCAGGGTGAGCGGCCAATGGGAGGCTCGGAGGAGAGAGCTTGGGCGGGACGACACTAAGAAGCGGCAGCTGAGGCGAAAAGCTGTAGTTTATTCCCCACACCTGCATTTTAGCCAATGGCTGTGCGCCTTTTTATGATTGGCAGGGCGGAAGACCAATGGAAGGTTCGGAGGAGAGAATGTGGGCGGGACGAAGCATATAAACAGGCATCTCTGGCAGCTGCGCATGCGTGCGTTTTCCCGCCCAACACCTTGTTCTAAACTCCCCCCACCTGCGCTCTAACCAATGGTCGCGCGGCTTTCTATGATTGGCAGGGCGGGCGGCCAATGGGAGGTGTTATGAAGCAAATAAGCGCTTTCTGAGGTAAAAGCGAGGGAGCGCCTTCTGAGAGGAAACCTGCTTTTACTCCTCCATTATTTAGGACAAGGATATGCTTGAATTCCAAACAAATGAGTGAAATAGGCGATAGAAATAGAAAAGAGTCCAAAAAAGGCCTATTTCAGGGGGAAATATGGAATTATTTCCACCCAGATTGGATTATGATGCTTGAATTCCAAACAAATGAGTGAAATAGGCGATAGAAATAGAAAAGAGTCCAAAAAAGGCCAATTTCAGGGGGGAAATATAGAATTATTTCCACCCAGAATGGATTCTGATGCTTGAATTCCAAACAAATGAGAGAAATAGGCGATAGAAATAGAAAAGAGTCCAAAAAAGGCCAATTTCAGGGGGAAATATGGAATTATTTCCACCCAGAACCACCTTGAATGGATTCTGATGCTTGAATTCCAAACAAATGAGAGAAATAGGCGATAGAAATAGGAAAGAGTCCAAAAAAGGCCAATTTCAGGGGGGAAATATGGAATTATTTCCACCCAGAATGGATTCTGATGCTTGAATTCCAAACAAATGAGTGAAATAGGCAATAGAAATAGGAAAGAGTCCAAAAAAGGCCAATTTCAGGGAGGAAATATGGAATTATTTCCACCCAGAACCACCTCGAATGGATTCTGAGGGAAAACTGGAGAGATTAAGCCAGAAAAATAGGGGAAAAAATGGAAATAAATAGATAAATGTGGAAAATTGAAGGAAAAGCTTCAAGGGAGGGGGAAATTGGGACAAAATAGCATTTGGGAATTTCTTCCTCTGAAGGAAAGGCGAAAAGAAAGAAAAAAAGTATTTCCTCTGCGAAAAGAAAGGAGAAAAAGTATTTCCTCTGTGAAAAGAAAGAAGAAAAAGTATTGTCGAAGTCTTTCGTGGCCTGTTGTAGGTTTTTCGGCCTATATGGCCATGTTCCAGTAGCATTCTCTCCTGACGTTTCGCCTGCATCTATGGCAGGCATCCTCAAAGGTTGTGAGGGTTGCAATGTTTTGGTAATGGTAACCTTCTGCTCAATTTTTGAGGTATCTTATCTGTAGCAAAATTAGAAAGAGGTAAACGTGAGGTTTTGAAACATTGTGCGCTATTACGGAACAGAACGACATGAGATACACATTGCATCCTCAATGTAGCAGGGGGGTTGCTTAAAAAGTTACTTTAACATCTCCTTTCCCCTGAAGTTATTTCTCCAACCCTATTGGTGCAGCCTTTATGGGGTCGCGGCTTTAAGGGGTCTCTGCTAGCTTTTTAGGCCTCTTTAGGGGTCCTAGCTTGCAAACCCAGACCTCTTTATGGGGTCCCTGCTGATATGCCCAGGTCTCTTTATGGGGTCCCTGTTTGCAATACCAGACCTCTTTATAGGGTCCCTGCTTCCAATCCCAGGCCTCTTTATGGGGTCCCTGTTTGCAACCCCAGGCCTCTTTATGGGGTCCCTGCTGGCATGTCCAGGCCTCTTTATGGGGTTCCTGCTTGCAATCCTAGGCCTCTTTATGGGGGCCCCACTTGCAATCCCAGATCTTATTATGGGCTACCTGCTTGCAATCCTAGAACTGGGTTGTTGTAGGTTTTTCGGGCTACGTGGCCATGTTCGAGAAGCATTCTCTCCTGACATTTTGCCTGCATCTATAGCAAGCATCCTCTGAGGATGCTTGCCATAGATACAGGCAGAACGTCAGGGGAGAATACTTCTAGAACATGGCCACATAGCCCGAAAAACCAACAACAATCCAGTAATTCCAGCCATGAAAGCCTTCGACAATCCTAGACCTCTTTATGGGGTCTCTGCTTGCATTTCCAGGCCTCTTTATGGGGGCCTGGTTTGCAGTCCTATGCCTCTTTATGGGGTCCCTGCTTCCAATTCTAGGCCTCTTTATGGGGTCCCTGCTGGCATTTCTAGGCCTCTTTATGGGGTCCCTGCTGGCATTTCCTCAGGCCTCTTTATGAGGTCCCTACTTGCAATCCAAGGCCTCTTAATGAGGTCCTTGTTGGCATTTCTTTATGAGGTCCTGTTGGCATGTACAGGCCTCTATGGGGTCCCTGCTTGCAATCACAGGCCTCTTTATGTGGGGCCTGACTTGCAGTCTTATGCCTCTTTATGGGGTCACTGCTTGCAATCCCAGGCCCCTTTTTAGCGTTCCTGTCAACATTTCCAGTCCCCTTTATGGTGTGTCTGCTGGCCCTTCCAAGCCTCTTTATGGGTTCCTGGATTGGAATCCTACGCCTCTTCATGGGGGTCCCCACTTGCAATCCTATGCCTGTTTATGGGGTCCCTGCTTCCAATCACAGGCCTCTTTATAAGGTTGAGTGCTTGCAATCCTAGCCCCCTTTATGGTGTCCCTGCTGACATTTCCAGTCCTCTTTATGGGGTGTCTGCTGGCCCTTCCAAGCCTCATTATGGGGTCTCTGCTTGCAGTCCTATGCCTCCTTATGGGGTCCCCGCTTGCAATCCTATGCCTCTTTATGGGGTCCTTGATTGCAATCCTAAGCCACTTCATGGTGGTCCATTTTGCAGTCCTAGGCTTCTTCAAGGAGCCGAAGTCCTTCCACAGCACCTGTGTGCAATTAAGCATCCATCTTCCTGGGAGGAAAGGCAGAGATTCAGTGCAGGGGACCTTCTCTTGCCTGGAGGGGTGCGGCCTTTCTGCATCCTCTCTGGGCGCAAGAGTCCTGCGTGACCCAGTACCAGGGCCACTCTGTCTCAGCCAGGTGAAGAAGACATCAAAGGTAGGCACCCACCTGTTCCAACTCATGCTTGGCCAGGTTTTTTTTTTATTCCTTTTCTGCCTTGTGGTTATTGTTGTTCCTCTCCAAGCCTTTCAGATGTGGGGACCAAGCCTTTGGGGCAGTGCAATGAGACAATTATCGAATGGTGTCCAGAAATGGTTTTTAAGCAACTGGTTTTAAAGTGGATATAAGCAATTTTAATGTTTGTGTATATTTATGGTTTTATGTTTTATGAATGTTTGCCATATATGTGTTGTGCTTCGCCTTGAGTCCCCTGCGGGGTGAGAAGAGTGGACTATAAATATTTCAAATAAATATATTGTCGAAAGATTTCATGGCCGGAATCATTGGGTTGTTGTAGGATTTTTGGGCTGTATGGCCATGTTCTAGAAGCATTCTCTCCTGACGTTTCGCCTGCATCTGTGGCAGGCATCCTCAGAGTTTGTGGCCATGTTCTAGAAGCATTCTCTCTTGACATTTCGCCTGCATCTGTGGCAGGCATCCTCAGAGTTTGTGGCCATGTTCTA